GGTATGCGTGCGCGTCGCCGTAGCCATGCGCGTCGGCAAAATGAAAAAGTTTTTTTTTTTCAATAAAACATGATGTCTCAAAAAAAAAAAAAAAAAAAGCCGCGTCGCCGCACCACTTTTTAGACAAGCTCCATACCAGAAACCGGAGACTTTTTTTTAGCCTTAGGCATTATTGATAAAGGGCATGATTGTTACCAGTATACGTGGAATGATACCATTAAGGAGACACGTTATCGTGATTTCTTCGCACGATGGGAGACATCGGTCATTTGGGAGACATGTCTCCCTAATGTCACAGCCCCGCCTTTAGAGGCAACATTTTACAGTCGCAATTAGATTATATCTGTTGCTCGTGGTCTAATTAGAAAACATGCCGAAATTCGTGGAAAAAAAACAAGGGAATATTGGGTTAGGGCACATTTCTATGGGGATGTCTCCCAAATGTCCAATCCAGGGTAATCAGTTTTACTCTCAATAATTTATATGAGGTTATGAAATGTTACGCGGCCCCACGACCTTTTTCCCGTCAATAAGAGCAAATTTTATATTTTAATTAATGCCAAATTGTAGAAAGGTAAGTGTTAAATAATAATGTATTATAAAAAAAAAAAGTAATGCGTAAAAACATTTTCCCTTCACGCATTCATGAATATGCAAACTGCCTTAAAACTGCCAAATCTGCCAGTCGATTACGATGGCTTACATATATTTTGTTATGAAAATAAACGCTATATAATATAAAATTTGGGTGATGTAACTTAAAAAGTGTATATTTAATATTAATGTTATTACTGCCTTTTTAGGAATAACAACTGCCATTCGATTAGAAATGAAATGCCAGTATTGAATTCTCAGGCGGGTTTACTGGTCGTGTTCAGCAAGTTGTATGCAAACCAAAACACCAGCTCAGTGGAATGATTCGACCATTTGTTTTAATTCTTGCAGGAATTAATACAACATGTCACTTAAGTTTTCATTTCGAAATGGTGTGTGGTAATTGTATTTTAACATTTTGAACTCTTTAAGTGTTTCTTTCATTTGTGTCTCTATAGTTATTTTAAGAACAAAATCGATCACTGCTTTCAATCCACAAGATTTAAAGAAATAATATAAATTTTTATAATATTTACATACGGGGTAACCACGGAGATTCGCAGGTTTTGTTGACTACAATAATCCATCGTTTTATCTTTCATCAATTTGATAATGCCGCGCTTTAGAAATGTCATTTAATATATATTTAAAATCATAAATAAATACAACCCACTGCACAATTTCTACAAGTCAAACGTATGTTTTTGAGAAGAACTACTTTCTGTAATGCTAGTTTGAATTAACACATTTGTATGCAGTTTATTTCTTGCAAAAGATATAAATATAGGGCAAAATTGTTGAAATAAAATTAATGCAAAGCCAGACTTTCCCTGGGTTCCCTTATATTAGATTGTGATATTCAAGCATCAATAAAGTTCAGTTTTAGCAGGCCATTCTCAAAGCATTGAGGGCGCTCTATGTCTTCCATGACGTCATGGCAGCACTTCCCCTCACTGCCCTTCCTAACGTACTGATGAGTAACAATCTTTGGTATCCGGGTTGATCTCAAAATAAGACAATCCCATAAACTATTATTTATAATTTTTAAATCCGAAGTGGCGATTTCCAGGATTGCCCTGCCTTTTACACAGGCTATAGTCAGCAACAGTCAGATCATATTTCAAGCAAGTACTGTGACTAATCAAAAACAGGCAAGAAGTAGGCACATCTGGCTAATCACCTGCTGCAGTCAAAGCATAACCGTACCAAGTCACATAAACAGTCACAGCCTTTGAATCCTGCTTTTTGTAAGCTTGGGGCTCTTGGTCCAAAAAAAAGTGTCCGGTTTCTGTTATGCGCGCGCGTCGCCGTAGCCATGCGCGTCGGCAAAATGAAAAAGGTTTTTTTTTCAATAAAACATGATGTCTCAAAACCGCCAAACTCACTGGTTTGACTGGAATCCTGCTGCTGCACAATTTTAACGTGTCTTTAGATGGGGTTATGGTCGAGATTGAGCTTTATGTGGCCTCTCTGGACTCCCATATATTTGCACTAAGTTTAGTCGGGCACCATTTGCAGTCATCAGCCGACATTTGAAGCAAAAAAATCAGGTAAAAAAAAAAGCCGCGTCGCCGCACCACTTTTGGGGCAAGCTCCATACCAGAAACCGGAGACTTTTTTTTTAGTTAATAACTTTTGAAAACAATTACTTGATTGATTTTGACTGAATAATAACTTTGCACAGAATGCATGCTGTGCATAGGAGGGATAAAAATGGTGCTTCTTAGCCTAAATTTGTAGTATACATCAAGACCAAACTAATTCCGTCCTCAAAGGTTATCGCAGCCTACCAAAAAAATAAATGAAGATGAAGAAATGTGAAGGTTCATTCAAATCTGAAAATAGACGCAGTCAGAGAAGCGGGACGTGCAAACCAGGGCCTTGAGAATTAACTGAAAATTAAAACCTCAATTTGATTTCATTTTATTATCATGCTTATTGATTTCTATTGTCAAGCTTAAAATGCTTTAAAGAATGGTTTTCTATCGGTTCCTATTTCAGGGAATAACCCATTGGGAAAGAGCAGTGGCGTAGCCACGGGGGGGGGGGGGGGGTCGTGGGGGGGGGCGACAGCTCCCCATGAAACCTTGTCGTCCCCCCCCCCAGTCGCCCCCCCCCCTTCCACTGAGATTTTGAGTTTCTAAAAAAATTATCATTGATCTACATGACGCCCCCCCCCCATGAAATGTTCCAGCCCCTCCAACGCCCCCCCCCCCCCCCCCCCCCCCCACTGAAAAAATTCCTGGCTACGCCACTGAAAAAGAGCAATATAAAATCATGGCGTTACATAATGATAATCGAAATTCGTCACAAAGTGACAATCAAAACAGTTAAAGGAAAGTAGTAAACCTCACTTCGGAATATGAACAGAGAAACTCCGTTTCAATTTCAAAGAATAGCTAACCAAACTGTGCAGAACTATGGAAAAAATTCTGTTTAGTCCTCATTGTACAGGATGTGTTTTCAATGACGTTTGGAGTTTTGTGACTGAGCACGTCCTATAAACTTTGTCATAGAAGAAAGTTGGCAAAACAAAATAAACGAAGTAAGATTTTAATGACAACAACAGCCGTGACTTTGGAAAGAATGTGATCACCAAGAATATGGCATAAAATAATTGTATGCGTTGACAGTTATGTTTCATCAGAGTTGAAGAATTTAACATGAGGTTATACAATCCTGAAGGCAGCGATATCAAAGGTGAGGTTGCCATTTTCTTTCTCGAAAGTCAAGAAAACTTTTGTTTTCAAAATGTGCAATCCGGGGAGAATATCACAGGCAATATTACTCAAAGACTTGTGTTTTTTTGGTAAGCTATAGATATATTCTCATTCGAGGAGCCCGATGCGCTCGTAAAGTAGTTTACAGTAAAATATACATTGATTATTGAAACGCGCAGCCAATCGTTTACCATTAATTTTCTTCTAAACAATCTGCAACTTTGTCATATAATACCGCTGATAATTTTGGGGAATTCAAATTTCCTTGAAACACTTTGCAATAAAATTTAAAAAACGCCTATTATCAATAAACACTTTAAGGCCGGCGAATTGAACGTCAGGAAACGTTAGCTACGAAATTCGCCAGGGTTGAAATGTTTGTTCAACTTTCGCGAACTCGCAGCGCGAAACCTTTTCGCTTACGCACCGAGTATGAACTGTTTGAGAGGAAAAAAATGTGGTTTGTAAAAAGGGTATCTATCTTCGGGTACAGTATCAATAATAAATCGTTCCTTAAAAGCGAGTGCACTCGGCGCGAACGCGAACGCGATTCTGTGACGTCACGGTTAAGTTTTGCGCTGTGAATTTATTTGGCTACAATTCATTTTCAAAAAACACCGGGCACACAAAAACACCGGCCTGCCATGATTTTCTTTCGATTGAACCATCTGTGGAGGAATAATAACAAAGGCTATATGGTTCCAGTCCTTTCTTCATTTTGAGGTTTTCGCATGAAATCGGGAGGTGCATTATGAAACCTCAAAAGCTGCGACGTCATTGCCTATATGCACTATATGCACTATATGGGTACTCAATGAGCTCAGACCTCCAGTCTAGAGTCTCCTACGTAAACTTGATGTAGAGAGTGTAGTTATGACGGTGGCGACAGCCAAACTAATATATATAGCTGATGAAAGGGTTTTGTGTAGCCCTATATACATCAGGTTTGTGGTTACATATCCTATACATTTTACAGGGTGAGTAAAAAATAGGAAACACAAATGTGAGGACCATCTTTTTTTAATGAATTTCTGCATGTAGCACTTTTAAAATATAGGATAAGAAAGCCCAATTAATAATCTTTCTTTTAGTACAAGAATCATTCAAATCACTCATGTGCTTTTCAAGTTACGGAAGTTCTTTCCACGTATCACCAACAAGTGTTCGTCTGGCAAAACGAAAACAATTCACATACATTCCTATGTGAATTGTTTTGATTTGCTGAAAGAACACTTACTTTTTTGTGATCCGTAGACAGTACTTTAAACATGTTCACGATGGAACTATTTTGAGAGAGCTACAAAATAGCAGTTTTAGGGAGTTGGAAGTCAAAAGTACCGCCTGCGCAACTTGAGACCACAATTTTCGGTTTAATCATATTTTTTTTGCAATTAAATGGCCTTATCCCTGGGACAAAGACAGTCTGCGGTACAATAATTTAAACATCGGCTACAGACACATATACAACACGTATCTGTTTATGACTGACCTATTTCAAAATCTCTTTTGTCGGCCCTCGAATGAAGAAAACAAAAACAAGGAGGACGCACATACTTTTTCTCCGAAGAAACGCACTCTTGAAAGGTCACTGAAAAGTTGCCATGAAAAAGATGTCCCGCCATTGAAACGTATCTGCATTGCTGGCTGCATGTAGCCTCATAGGGAATTATGAGCCGGTACTCCACTTCCATGCACGGTAGCTGTCTTCCTGACTGACTTCCTGATTCACTTAAGGGCGTATATAGGCTTGTCAAAGTGAGTGGGAAGACTGTATAGGTTAGATGTTCCTGTTGCTACCCCACGTATAGTAAACAGGCAGTGAACTATTAGGGAAGACTCGCCAGAGGTTTTCAAGCTAGTGCCATATCTGAGTGATTTCTGGCTGTCAATGTTGGGAATATACGCCACTCCAGAATGAGCACGGCTCTGAAAGGTATGATGTTTAATTAAACCTATTTAATAGAGCATTTCTTTCTTTTGTTAGTACATGGCCGAACACACTTTGGTTATAGTGGACTTTCCAGTACATAGGCGACCGTAGGCGAAAGGATTTTTTTCCAGTACAGGTACAATTCAAACCCAAATGTAGGTGTTGTTTTCTTATAAAAGATCGGGATTGAATGTAAAATGTCATCAGGGGAAAAAAATCTTTGAAATTAACATTCATCTGATGGACTTGTTTGTCTAACCGCCCAAACCATAGAAGGATCGATATCATTGTATCCCGGTAAGGCAGTGACGTGAATTCCTGCGCCATTATGTACTGGAACTATGTGTCATCGGGCGATTTCATGCCATGCAAAAACAATACCAGTAGTTTGGCTAGTTTCCAAGACACATATGACACTATGCATGATTATGTGACTGAACATTTTTTGGTTTGTTTACATCGGTATAATTCAAGAGTTGTTCTCGGTTGTTATTATGTTTTGCATTTATATTTACATGTATTTTTAATTTTTGGTGATATCTTTACAATCCAATATAAATGCATATAGTCAACTATCTACTTGCTTCACAAAATTTTGATTTGCGAGTATATTAAACACTTCAATAAGCCTCTGTACTAATGACGTCACACTTTGTTTACATGTGCACTTTCCTATGGAGCCAGTGGGGGTCCACGGTCTACTGAGCGCCATTGGAAAGCACACACATAAACAAAGTGTGACATCATTAGTTTTAAATATCAGGATTGATTAACTATGCATTTTTAAGAAAAACACTTCGAAAGGTTCAACCGCGTGAAAAACCCACGTATAACACAAAACTGTTGCCAACAAGAACATTTTTTTTGTAAAGTGTTCTATACTTTTTTGTTCTGTTTTACCAAGGTATGATAGAACAGCAACGATTGAAATCGACATTTTACAAATAATCGTCGATTTATTATTGTGTAAGTACCTAAAAGGTAAAATTAGAGCAAAACGCCGGAAGGGCATTTCTTTGTTGCCAGAAAGTGAAAATGATATATGAAGAAGTAATTACATGGCAAAAGCAGAAAGTAAAAAAAATACAATTGTTGATTTGTACTGGTTGAAAAAGAGGTGAATGAACGAAGCGAGAAACACCTGTTACTTTGCCTGTTCAGTCTTGGTCTTATCGAGTCATAGGAAACCTGACCGAGGAGTCACGAGGTAGACCTAATCATCATGTCTCATCACCCGGCCGTGTACCAAATAGTGACTCATATGCCATGTACTCTGTCCATTACACTTAAATTAAAATGAATTCTTGTAGCTGTTAGGGATTATATTTTAAGACAGTGGCAATTAAGATGTGTTGGATTGGATGACTGGGGCAAATATCCCAGGGGCGGGGAATACAGGGTGAATGAGAAAAAACATAATATCCAAATGACAGGATCAATTTTTTTTAATGAAGTTCTGCATGTAGCACTTCCAAAACCTAGGATATGAAAGCCAAATTAATAAACTTTCTTTCAGAACAAAAATCATTTAAATCCCTCAAGTACATATCAAGTTACCGACTTTTTGAACGCAACCAACGTTTTAAAGTTTTGTCCACGGATTATAAAAAAGGGGAGTGTTCTTTCGACGAAACGAATCACATAGGGATATTTCAATTGTTTTCGTTTTGCTGAAAGAACACACAACTTTTTGTGTGATCCGTGGACAGAACTTTAAAACGGTAGTTGTGTTTAAAATGCCGTAACTTGAAAAGTACATGAGTGATCTGATTGATTTTGTGTACTAAAACAAAGATTATTACTTGGGCTTTCATATCTTAGATTTTAAAATGCTACATGTAGAACTTTATTAAGGAAATTATCCTGCCATTTGGGTTTCCTTTTTTATTACTCACCCTGTATATCATAATGGTCCCCAACTTTTTTTTTTTGGGGGGGGGGGAGGGGAGAGGGGACTGAACATAATATCATACAAATCACTCCACAAATGTACACAGTATAACACCAAGCAGCTGTTTTAAAACAACCTTGAAATAAAATGTAATAAATTGGTATTGTATATATGCCCTTGTTTTGAGGATTTTGAAATAAATAATCGGAAGTTTGGAACCAACAATATAATTGCAAACATCGGCTACATGACTGTTTTTCTAAAAGGTACCGGTACATTTATTTTTGAAAATCGAATTTTAGAGCAAGTTATGTTGTAGTATGTATTGGTTGACAAGGATATGTATTTTTTTTAATCTGATGACTAACATTGAAACAAAATAAAAGGGGTGTTTTGTGAAGATTGAACACAATGAAACACACACAAATATTGTTTTTAATAATTTTAATTTGTGATAATATGTAGCACGATCCAACGCGGTATCATAAAAATGTAAACATGATACATTTATATGCATGCACATTTGTTTCAGACTTTATACATAGCAGATTAATTCAATGCCCCAAGATGTATAATGTGCTTTGTGTACATGTGTCACATTTCTATTTCTTTGCGTTACTTTGTCGTTTATACTCGTGAATCGTAACAACAGTGAAACAAGCAGGGAGCCGGGAAGTTGTAGCGCTATAGTTCCTGCAGTCATCTGCATATCAGCTGTCATGACTAAGTGACTAGTCGGATATGTCGTGTACCTACAGGAAATGAATTACCCAAAGTGGCCTCCATACTCGGTACCAAAACGGGATGTTTGCTGAAATATCCTTTGACCTATATTGTGTTGCCTCGAGTTATGATTGCATAAATGAGATTGTATGTGCTAGGATTGGGTCCATAGTATGTAGGATTGGATCTGTTATAGACGATATATTGCAGAATCCATGTAGCAGTGACGGCGGATCGGTTTTTAAAGGGGGGGGGGGCGTCACAAAAAGGGGCACTTGCTCAGTAAAATGCATCTTCCCATGGTGCAGCAGCGTATCCAGCACTTATTTTTTTTTGGGGGGGGGGGTTGTGAAATTCGTGCTGAAATGTTGACACGGTGTTTTTTTTCACCGGACACTTGGCCTCCGTAAAAAAACAGATACATGTAGTGTGTGTGTGTGTGTGTGTGTGTGTGTGTTGGGGGGGGGGGGGGGAGGGGGGGACGGTGTACCATCTTCCAAAATAGGGGCGCTCCTCAAAAGCTGCCAATATGCAAACTACGCATTATGTGCCCATTTTCAGGACGCATTGTAAGGGTATGGGGCTTGGTTTTTATATTCCTTCTTCATTTCAGAACTCTCTATACCATTTTGGGAAATAGTTACTGAAAACAAATTATCAAAAATTTTGTTTTCATCTCAACGGGTCCCATTTATGCTATAGGGGCACATTAATGTCAGCAAGAGGGACACTTGGATAAATTGGGCCCCCCCCCCCGGTTCCGCCGCCCAGCATGTAGTCCTGAGTATTTTTAAAAGTGTATAGACACTGTATGGTGAGTAGAAAAAAAAAACGAGGACCGAGTTAGAAGAGAAATTAGAAAACAGGTGGTTCACTCCAAAAAATAACAAATAGCAACGTATTTTTGACGTGATTTGCATACAAATACACACAAGTAATTGCCGATAAATACCGATACGCATTTGCATTGATTCCTACCTCCCTGTGTGAACAAAACGTCTAAAAGGAAAACAGTCAAGAATCACCATTATCATTTCAGAAAAAGACTTTACTTTGTTCCTCATATACAAAACAAAACAATCTGAGAGTAAACATAATGTTTCAGTCTTGACTACAATTATTAAAATCTCATTTGTTTGTAAATCCCTGTGTGCAGTGGCGTAGCCACGGGGGGGGGGGGGGCGTGGGCGCCCCCCCCCCCATGAAAACCTTGTCGCCCCCCAGTCGCCCCCCCCCCCCCACTGAGATTTTGAGTTTCTAAAAAAATTATCATTGATCTACATGACGCCTCCCCATGAAATGTTCCAGCCCCCCAGCGCCCCCACTGAAAAATTCCTGGCTACGCCACTGCCTGTGTGTAACCGCTGAATAGCTTCAAAGTATTAAGCATTCCATGAACAGCTGTAAAACAAAAATGGGTTCTTTTAGTAAACATGTATTACTTTTGAAAGCATGGAAATAAATAGTAGAAGACTTCACTGTTGGTATACAATCCACCATATAATCATCACATAATTATTGAAAACCGACAATTTTGATTGCACAATGTATTTTTATATTGATACTCTGTATTTGTTTTCAATTACCTGCTTTTTTTTTATCGCAACTTGTAAATCGTCCAATTTGATATGCACTGCACGGTTGCAATACTTCTATTTTTTTTTAGCGTGCAATAAAAATTATGTTATCCGACGTTTTCATGTTTTGTGACGAAAATTCCGTTGCATGCATACAACGCATATGAGACTCGTGAATTTATTGTTCAGTATCCAACGTGGCAATAAATTTCACCACTTGTTTGCTCGGACTACATGCATTTCGACATGAAAGCTCCAAGCTCAGTGAGTACATTCCACGATTCCCTAAATATCATTCCCAACTATTTCGTTTTCCGACGTGAGCTTCACACCATATTATTGAATCTGTCAATTGAGTGTCTTTCAATTAAATCTCTCAATGGTTATCACTCTGTTTTGTTCTAATTTAGAAATATTCAGTTGGTTAGGCTTTTCCTGTGACAGGGGCGGATACAGGAATGTTTGCGGGGGGGGGGGGTATTAGCAAATTAATGCTGAAATGTAGACGGGTGTGGGTGTCCGGACACGTGACTCCGTAAAATCAATAGGTTGGGGAGGGTGGGGGTTGGGGGCGGCTCGTAACATACCTATAATGGGGCGCTGTTCAAATCCGACGATAATTAACACTATATTACAGGATTGTGTACAAATACCCCCGTAACCTAGCGGGCTCTGTCCGTATTTTTGGCAGAGGCGTGCATTTATATTTTTGTTGGTGTCAGAGCAGGGGGGGGGGTTAGCTTTTTTGTGTGTGAATTTGTATGGAAAAACTAATTTTTGACAGAGCTGGGGGGCTTGACCCCCCTCCCGTAGATCCGCGACTGTGTGCGCATGTAATATTCTTCTTTTTTGTTTGTCTGTGATAAGGTATAGTCAGGCCTAAACATTCACCTTCGTGTTAACTCGGGAGTTCCACGCGACAAGCTCTGTTTTTCAGGAATAGCCCTCCAAAGTATTTCTTATTAAACAAACGTAAACAATAAAATACCGCAATAAATTAATAATGAATTACCAATAAACAACAATCATTCTCACTACTTGTATTGTATGCATGGGTAAAAACAGGACAAGACTAAATGGCATACGTTACAAATCATCTTTTGGTTGACCAACGCTCCTCGGTTGAATTTGCTCGTTGTTTTTGTTGGGGTTGTTTTCAGCGGAACTTCGGAGCACAGTGCTAGTGACATCTGCCGGAACTTATACCTGACATAAAGATAAAGACAACACGAGACTCCGTCCCAGGCACTTGCCATTTGTTCCGGGTTCGTTTTTCAGTTGTTGACAAGCCTAACCTTGGAATAGGTTACAACTTCCGGGTCAACCGGATGACTTTCTAACCATCAGACTTGTATTCGAGTCACCAAACATCAAGTCCGAGTGCGAGTCACCTCTTCCGAGTCGAGCGGCCGAGTCGTAAAGGTCGAATCCGAGTCCGAGTCACGAGTCACAACGGTCGAGTCCGAGTCCGAGGCACGAGTCACTTATAACGTATATCGGAAATAAATGTCGAGGTACTGCTAAAACCTCACAGTGTAAATGTTTCCATTTTCACATCTTTACTCTGATTTAATGAACTGGAAACCCATGTATAACCATAAAGCAAGACACCTTGTCTGAAAAAGATAATCAGGTACCGAACACTATCAGCTTGCATTTACGCAATATAATAATGCTGGGGGTACATGTACATGTTTCGATACAGTGATCTCCCAAATCAACAAACCAGCCACACGCGCTGTGTATGTACAGTATTTACATGCGTTTCTTATGCACCGCACAGACTGTATCGCTTCCTCAAGAGAGGATGTCTTCCAAATGATTTGTAATTATATATTGTTGAAAAATAAGTGAATTGTGGTATTTTGGTCGAGTCCGAGTCCTTTGTCTTCGTGACTCGAATCCGAGTCCGAGTCACGGGAAATGAGACTCGAGTCGGACTCCAGTTTTAAAACATACAAATTGAAAAGTCGCACCGGGTATGCATCTTAGCTTAGAAATGAGGTCATATACTATACTGAGTATACAGTGTTTATACGTCGGTGAAGGGCAAAACCTTATATGGAATTCACACCACCCCGACGCAAATTCCATCTTATGAATTAGTGATTTGTTAGTGCCTGTTTTCCCTCTTGTACACATTTTATTTATCGTTCAGTTTTAATGATTTGTTGGTTCGCCTCTTTTGTTCATATTTAAATTGTTTTGTTTTTATCTGTTGTTTTGTTGATGTTGTTCTTTTGTGTGTGTATATTTTAGTTTGTAATGTGCATAGTTATATATACATATATATTGGCAGGGGATTGGGAGAGCACATCTTTTTTCACATTTTTTTTTTACTTTTGCTCTTCCCTGGGCAGCCCCTGCTAATGAGATATTTTTTTATTTCTGTGTTGTCAAAAGATTTAAAAAAATAAAAAATAAAAAATGAATGGGTTATTGTGGTATTCGCTGCTACATCAGATTCGTACCAACAGATACCGCAAGCTCGGTGGTAGAGTAGTAACAGTGGGGTAGCCAGGAATTTTTCAGGTGGGGGGGGGGCCGCTGGGGGGCTGGAACATTTCATGGGGGGCGTCATGTAGATCAATGATAATTTTTTTAGAAACTCAAAATCTCAGGAGGGGGGGGGGCGACTGGGGGCGACAAGGTTTCATGGGGGGGGGGCTGTCCCCCCCCACTCCCCCCATGGCTACGCCACTGAGTAGTATGACTTTTGCACTAAAAAGCTGGAGGTCGTGGGTTCGAGTCCCACCCAAGTGATTTTTGTTTTCGAATTTCACTCGCGATAGCCAACACACCGAGTTTACAGTGTTTATCCGTCGGTTAAGGGCAAAACCCAATATTGAAGGTTCTATACTGTTTACCATATTTTCTGAAAGAATATTTCCGTGATCACAATGATCCAAATGTCGGATTTAACGGGATGCGACCCCTAAATAAAATAATTTACTATTTTGAGTTATTTTGTGTGTCTTTGTTTTGCTCTTATATATTTTATTCGTATTACTATTTTGGGGATCCTATATATAAATAACAAACAAAAGAAATAAAGACCATTACCATAGACACCAATATTTTAGCAACATTTATGTCTTTATACTGGGAGCCCATTAATCTGACATTTGTATTTTTTAAAAGATATTATTATGATTAGTGAAAAAAAAATATTAGCACGAGCAACACATTGTGATTGTCTTGGTTAATAGGCCATTTTAAACTATTTTTTTTTTATTTTGCGAAAAATTCTGTCAAAGAGGATACTGTCTCTCAGCTACTTTCCCAGCTAGTTTTTAATCGAGTGTTTATTTCTTTTAATCTCTACTCCTTAGCTGCGATACAAAGTGATTGGCTATCTTTAAATTCTATTCCTGCGTACAAAACATGCAGTTGGTTGAAATATCGTAAAGGTCATAGGCCTACAACCAGTTAACTCGGGCAACTGCCAGTGGCCATCAAAAAAGCAAAGTGTTTTGGGTACGGGGTAACAATGGTGGGAGGTGGTTCGTGCGAATACTTATATGCCATTTTACTCCAACCATAATGATTCGGCTTTTACAACAACAGTAAAACTCGAGAGATCACTAAGCCAACCAAGAGTTCGAGACGACAATGACGTCAGACAGGACGAAAACGCCGAGCCTCACCCAGGACATCGGTACTACACACCTCAACCCGACTGTAAGAAGCCTCAGTTACTCCCGAAGCCTGGGGTCCCAACACCAAGCAAGACCACCATCTCCCCTCAGATCAACGAGTCTGATACTAAGCCCGACACTATAGAATCCCCGGCAGAGGCTGCGAGACACGATGAGGGCACCAAGGAGGCAGAGGACCGAGAAAAGGCCACGGTGCCCAATGGTCACGTGCCGGCTGACAAGCAAACTGGAGCCCCGAACTCGGCACGGCTTAAGGCTTTACGAGCAGCGAGTACCATGGAACCCCTCACGCCCAGAAGGAAAGCCCCCAGCCGGCCTCCGCTTGGAAAGAGACGAACATCAGACACACAGCTACAAGTCATTGAACAGCTGATGAAGAGGAACGAGTCTTTCAATCCTAAAGCCTCAGCTTCGTTAAAACGAGGTTCCGGTAAGTTTTCATGTATAATATTCTTTACAAACTTGGTGTTCAGTAAAATGAACAAGAGGAAGTTCACATATTTTGACTTTACGTGACAATTAAATGCGACTTTTCGCCGGCTAGTTTGATGTAGTTCGGATATTTAAGGATGATGGATCTTGAAACTAAAATTGGTCTTGCGTTGTGAAATTTGAACCGTATATCAGCCGTTACTGAGTGCCTTTTGCTCATTTTAATCATTTTGCTCTCAGGGAAGTTGGTTATTTGTTCTTAGCGAATTGGAAAATTGTGTGAGGTATCCATCTCATCAGGGTTATTTTATTCATATTTTATTTTGCCCTAGGTAACAAGGTTTCCAGGTCTGCAAGTAGCGCAGGCCTCCTTTCTGCTTCCCCGGATCGACGAAGCCGACCTCAGTTCCTTACTCCACAACCAACTCGCCGTAAATTCAACCTCGTCGACCGGACGCCTTCCGTCAATGACGGGTCGCCGATTGGACCCGTAGCTCGTCTGGCTCAAAAAACCAAACGCCTCACTTCCCAAAACAGCTGGGACTCAGCCCACAGTTCGGATCCGTCCCCCTCACCAAGCCCTCACACCCCCGTCAGCCCCTTAGCAGCGCCTGCATTCAAAGCTAAAAAGATGACCTCCCCAAGCAGTGCAGACTCCGGACAAAGCGCTGAATCGTCCCCGTCTCCTACTCCTCATACCCCAGTAAGTCCCCTAGCCCTCCCTGCCTTCAAAACCAAGAAGCTTAACTCCCAGCAAAGTTCGGATTCCGGTCTTAGCCCTGACCTATCTTCATCGCCCAGTCCTCATACCCCTGTAAGCCCGCTAGCAGCACCAGCATTCATCGGACGTGTGCGGCAGAGCGTCCGGCCTGCTCCACCGGTGCCTGACTCGCAGCAGAGAAACATTGATTTTCATCAGTGGAAAGGACCAGATAAGGAAAAACAATGGACTAAGCCAGAGAAGTCACACTCTGGAACCAAAGATGGTAGGCCTCAAAGTATTGCACTGTTAAACCCAGGGTTGGCGATTTCTTTGACTTTTTTTTAAAAAATAAAAAAAAATCTGATTTATTTGATTTAAATCTGATTTTTTTTATTTAAATCAGATTTTTTTTTTTTTTTTTTAACTTTCAAAATATTGATATGTCTAAACATGTTTACAGGTTCCTATAATATCCATCATCCACAAAACTCAATAAATTGATGAATGCTTTTGAAAAAAATTGTATTGAATCAGTGCTTGATTGATACAGCTGAGATACGTTATGTGTGGATACGAATGAACATGGCACACACACAAAATACGACAGTTCTCCATGGGCAAGTTGATTTCATAAAAATGCTTCTAATTTCAAAACCGGCGGCACTGATTGTGTAATAGTGTTTGATTGATGGTCCAAGGTGGAGAACAGAAATCAGGCCTTCACCTTTAAAAGGTTTTATATAAATCTCAAGCTGAATTTGTGAGGGGGAAACGTTAGGAAAAAGACTATCAATTGGGACTTTTAATACACCTTTTGATGGTTCATGTAAGCCTTCACCAGCACAGTCGATTCACAATATTACTGTAAACAGATCAAGGAATGATTAAAGCAAACGTGAGTGTGCTCTCTTTAAAATTGAAAGCTTTGAAGAAAAACTTTTAAACTCAGATCTTGACTTAATCAAAACAACGATTTGTGTAATTATGCAAAACTTAAATTGAGTCGATGGTGATGAAGAAGGGGTGTATGAATGTGTTAACAACATCTTACACTTTTTAGTTAGGTGGAATCAGGTGATTTAAATGATTAAAATGACCCTCAATCAATTGATTTTGCCAAAATTAAGATATTTACAAAAAAAACTGATTTAAATCAGTGATTTTTATAAAAACATCATTTGATTTAAATCGCGATGATTTAAATCAGCCAACCCTGGTTAAAACTAGTCCTGCCTCAGCTTTTGTCTCAACCAATCTTTGCAGTGATATCATTGGAGGAAGGCTTTTTAATGCAGAAAAAAAGTGGACAAGAACTAGCTGAGCATTCATATTTTTATGGGGATAAGGGACAGTAGCTTACGTCGATCCACTGAAACATACGGCATTCTACAACGTGTAAATACAAATTTTGTTAGCCCATTTCAAGATTTTGACCCTAATCGGTAACTTTTATTATTTAAATGATACGTCGAAATTAAGTTTGAAGTAAGCCATTGAGATATTTTAGTGCGAGTTGTAGATTAGTCTCTGGAAGAAATGTTGACAACGGCCACATGCAGCCGTGTTTAATTGTAATGTTCTGTTAATTTGCAGCAATTTCGAGAAATAGACCCATCAGTATGCCCAACAACATCCGTCGCGTCAGCCGGGGCTCAGTCAATAAGTCCAAGCAGCGACAGTCAACCGTGAGACAGCAGGTAGCGGCTCGGCAGCTAGCTTCTACAGTTACACGGCCCGCCTCACCAGCCATCGGCCGCTCTACCTCCACAAGACACCGTCACCAGAGCGCCCCGGCCGGACGCGTGGCTCTGGCGCTCAAGCACGACCCAACGGGCCCAGTTACTAGCAGCCTGACCGGCGGAGAAGCACCGCTCAATACCACCATTTCTACCGGGATACGACGGCGTCACGCCTCAGACAGCCTGCGTAAGGAGGTTCTACGCTCCGTCAGCATGGAGAGATCCAGGAAGATGTCACTCATGAGCGATGAGGGGAGGGGCTTGGAGGAGGTTACGCCCCTCGGAAAGGCTGATAATGATTTCCGAGAGGAGATGATAAGATTGAAGACCGGTCTGGACCAACCTGATATGCATGACTCTAGCACCAGATCTCTCAATGGAAGCACCAAAGCATCTCCCAGGAGGGTAGGTAGTTGTTTCAGTTTGATACATTGCAGCGGTAGGTCGAATCAAGTGAACAATGGACATGTCAGTTTTACGTATTCACCAAGATTTACTCAATATTTTTGAACAGATCATTTTCACTTCTTATACTCTGTGGAGAATTATATTTCTGTCTCTAAATTAAAAAAAAATCAAGAAGATTTCATTATGGAAGCTGAAAAAGAAAGCGAAGAGGCATTAGCGTGAAGAGAACAACGTGCGAGCACAGCTCCCAATAAGTCAAATCAATTCAAACGCCAAAATTACGATCTTTTATGGGCAAGGCATAAAAGCGATCATTTTGAAATGAATTCTTTCCAGGCAGCGACTTCTCGGCAAACTTGGCAAACGCGCTTGATTACAACAATCATCTGAAGAAAATTACTGCATAATTCAAAAAGTCTAAATAAAGCCTTGTCTGTATTCTTATTTGTAAATGTAACAATTGTCTTGCCATTATACCAGTTTGTTTCAGCAGACAACCGAAGCGTCTACAGTGATTATCCGTCTACCTTCACTAATTCACCCGGTCCTTCTCCGACCAGGCAGAGGCCAAAACTTCGACGTGGACGCAGCTCAAGAACCTCGCTAGGATCCTTCAAGAGCATGCTGGCTAGCAACGAGGTGAGCCAAGCACGTCAGATTCCTTAGAGGCAAAAAATGACTATGCCCCGCTAAGATTAAAGGTACACGCAGTTTTAGACTTTGCGTGGTCGAGAGTTAAATTTTGGAAGAGGTTTGCGGAACAGGCCATTTGCTGTTGGTGACTCTTAAAAGTTCCACAGGTGCTTTAAAATTTGGTCATAAACATTCTCCTGATGCACTGTCTAGGAGATGTTTGTTGATTAACATACTGACCCAAGCGCCATGTATATTGGCTCATGTACAGAAGGCTCATAACTTCCTCGATTTCAATTGTTTGCACAGACTTGAAACGAAGATTTTGCTATCCTTTTCAATTGACGACTTTTGACACTGTTGGTGAAGGCAAAAAAGGTGTTTTCATTTCCCTGTTAATAAGAAGTTCTGCGCATGCCCAGAGTCACCTTAGCAATAGTAATGGGTCTGTACGTTTGGAGGCCCTGCATCTCAATCATTCTTCCACACTGAAATAATATCATCAGCAATGATTCTTTTTTTTTACCGTTTCCCTAGTTCCTCAACGACATCTTCCTGAGTGACCGTAAATCCCACCGTAAGCTGAAGGGCATCGTGGGCGCTTTAGCCGGTCTGGTTCTCGGGTGTTGTTTGTTCCTCGGTGTCTACTACGGTTTGGAGTACAGCCTCATCGCTTCTATCGTCATCACCGTGGTTGCCACGATCATCATGTGTCTCTCGCTCGCGCTTACTGGTGAGGCTAGTGTTAACAATTAGTCTTATCTAATAGCCCATGCTGTGAGGGTGCTGTATACACTGCAAAAAACACCACGAATTTTGCAATGAAACGTTTTTCTTTTTGTTATCAGTTTGTAAACATGTTAAAAACTAAACATGTTTAGAGCCATTGCAGATTGATGTAAAGGAATTGGACACGTAATGTTTAGCTTCTAAATATTTTTTACAAAGTGATAGCAAGATCGTGTTTAATTATTGCTAAGCACAGTTTTACAAAGTGTTGCTTTAACAACGCAAGTGAAGACCCCAATTAGACCACTGGGTCTTATCACTGTAATAATTCCCAAAAGAGGAACAGGAAAGTTCTAGACTGGAAAATATCGACCTTCTTTACTGTCAAATTGGTACGCTTTAACTATTTCAAACCAGAGTAGTGCCCGGACTTTTGTAACATTACTGTTATAAATGGGTGCTTGAGTGCACTCGATCCAGCTGGTTTATAACATGGTATGAAACCACCTGTAAATGAGGTCAGTATCGATGTAGATGCTGATCACTGAAATGATGTCTTTGGATATCTTTATCTAGTTCGAGCTCGCTGTGTTGCAGCTTTGATGGTTCCCACGCTCTGTACATCCAGGGGCAGAGCTGCCTTCCTTGCAGTCATTGTAACGTTACTTCTGACTGGTCCCATCGATAATATCTACACCAACGCAAAAGTGGCATCCGAATCTATGAGTTGTAGCGCAGAGGTAGGCTGAAGTGTCCTTTTAAATTTGAAGATCAGACTATGATTGTTGATCTAAAATTGATTAAGAGACGGTATAGTCCACAGGTACGGGGAAGTCCGGTGAAACCCTCCCCCAGAACTCACTGCCACCGGTATTTTTGTAATCCTCGGCATGTCCCCAATATGAAAACAAGATGTTAACAGGAACATTTAGGGATGCAATCTGTCAGGAGGCCACTTATTGACGCAGCTTTGATTGAGCAGAAATGCATTTTCTCAGCACTAGGGTTGAAAGGGGAATAAACAGAACGACATGACCTGAGCACACCTTGACCGATCTTAATCAAACTTAGCGCAATTAATTTTCATGAATAGCTCTTTTGAAAGATGTCTTCAGTTGTCATGGAAATTAAGTATAGAGGGCATTACAGTACTCATCATTACAGCAGTAATCATCTAGCGCACCAAGCCTAGCCTCTGTCAATTTTACAATTCCATTGCTGACGAGGTCCACATGCAGAGCCACCGATCCCTCCAGAAACACAAGCCCGCCAATCCCAAAATCTACGGACAAGATCGTGCAGTCATTGCCTCTATTTGTCAAGACAAGTCCAATCACATCATCTAAACTGACATCATCTAAGGGCAGCACCACTTTTGTCAAATGCACACGTTAACGGCAAGGTGAGGAATATCCTTGACTTTGGTTCCTGCCATCCCCTTTACAAGGACCCCATATCATCCATCGTGAAGAGGCTCCAAGGCAAACTCTTCATATTCCAGGCGCCTAGTAACATCTCCCAGTCCTTGTGCAGGCATCTCCCACCCACCGGCTCGAAAAGCCCAATCTTTTTATACAACCGATGATGCACAAGCCGGATGTTTCGCTATGCTCCGTCACGGCCTCCAAGGCGGACCCCACGTAAAACACAGCCAGACACCTCAACAAAATGTTTCATTCCCTAGTTAGTAAAACCAAACACCAAATCAAGAATTGTGAGAGTTTCCCCTCTTCATCTCAAACCTCACCCTCCAGTTAAACGACGTCATAGTAGTCAGCTTCGGAGTCATTTCTCTCTTTACCGACATACTCAGTGCCAACTGACCTGTGACATCGTCAAAGAAGGACTTCAACTGGACCCCACGCACAAGGATCCTACTGACCCCATACCATACAAGCTTCATGGAATACTACTTACCCCTGTGTCTTAATCAATTACTCAACGTAATATCATATTCATATCGATATATTCATAGAAAAATGTGAGTAGACCGCCACCATCACCACGGCAGAAAACAGACCACGTGTTGGGCTTCTTCGTCATCAAGTGATGAAACCTTCATTATCTGGCGGCATGGCGGCACTGCTCCTCTATAGCTCCGTCCCAAGGTTCTCCTATACCTAAAATACCCATTAATAAAGGCCACTGTAAAGATCACCCCCTTTCCTTGAATGAGAGTTGTTCTTCCAACGCATTCAACTCATCCGTCACAAGCATGGCTTCAAAGTTTTCATACAGCACCCCTGAAAATCCACATTCTGCTGCAATCTCACAAGATCCAGCAAGACTAAGCAATCAGACTAGGAGTCTACAGAATCCCATGCCAATGTAACAAAGTGTGCATCGATGAGGCTAGTAGTGATCTCCCCACTTCGACTGCTACTCAGTTGTACAAGACTATCAAAGAGTCGTAGTTATCTCCAACCTTCCAATCGGTTGCAAGAGACCAACTGTTGCCTGGAGATACTGAACAGTGTGAGCTATCTGCGCTATCCTGATAAACCGAGGACAACCACTGGGTCTTTTCCAAGAAACAGTATCCAAAGATATTGGTTGTCCATCAGTGACATCTAGTGCCCTATCCTCGTCCAGATAATCCAATGGGTCACCTATACATATACCTATACGAATGATACGAAACAGTTAGTTTCCATGGTTTATGGGTCTTCTGTACTGCTGACAACCTTTTCACAACTTTTCACAACCTTCCACCACACGGATACCCAATGATCAGTTACTTGTAGCATCCCCTGCCCCAGTCATCGTACATAGCAGCTCTTTTGGTGTTGGAATTTCTCTGTCTCCTGACGAAGAGCAGAGCATCAAGTACTGTCCCAAACCTGAAGTTTCTCTTGGTTCTTTACAGACCCTCACAACTAATTTCGTGTCTAGGCTCTGTGCAAACTTAAACTTACATTTGTAGCAACCTGTGCTAGTTGCAAGGGTAGGGTTGGAGTCTGGCTATCAACTCATGAGAGGGGAGATTATCCTATGTTCCGGACGAAAACAAAAGGACCACTTGAGGGACCGGTGCAACCCCAAAATAACTGGCTTATTTGGAGATTCAGATCACAAAATCAACCAACAGTGAAAAAAACAAATACAGATGTATACGAAGGAAAGACCCCTACGGTTGGTAAATGCACAATTACTATTTCATGGATACATTAATGAATTACATTATTTAAAGTGAAACCCAGTTTACATGAGGGAGTTTAATTTATCTCACAAATATAGCAGGTCAGCCCGACAACACTCACCCAACACTGGAGCGTTTCAGCCCTTACAAGAATATGTCCAAAGGTGTAGGCTAGCCCTAGCAGCCACTGCCTGTATTATGTACCCTGTCAGGCTGCATACAAAATAGAAAACTTCGTCTAAAAGCCCTTTCACGACACACAGCGCCTACATACATCGCAGTGGAGCAGTTCGGTAAATGTCTTACAAATGTATCAATTTCACCCGCCTAGTCGAGCCAACGCAATTCGTGCTCAACTGCAAACCGCAACGTGTATTTCCCACCCGCAAAATCATGTGCACACAAAAGAGGTGTAATGTGACGATCAATGACCCACAATTACAGGCTAAAATCTAACATAATTGGTATCTACCCAAGACATGATATATTCTAGTTCTACACCAAATATGCTTTCACACTATACATATAAAGATGGCAACCAAAGTCTCATCGTAGATTATTTTATGAAAGATTTTCTCACCAAGAGCCATCCGGGTCGAGCCCCGTTAGGGCCCTGTCACACTTCTGCGTATCCCAATTCCTTATGAGTTGCGCATTGACATTTTTTTCATACGCAGTCGTACGCACAATACGCACCTCATATGCATCTCTATCGTTTCGTGCAAGTTTTTGTACGCAAGCATACGCATGGTACGGCCCAGTACGCCGGATAGTTTTGGGCATGCACAAAACTATGCTGCGTACGCTGTTACCCAGGTCATAAGTTATAAATACGCAGCGCATCGGTCCCACATCTGTCGAGCACGGTACGAGTACGCTATGTGTTCGTGGGGATAAGCGGTTCATACGCAGTAATACGCTGATCTCCCGGCACGCACCCCGTCAGCATATGAGCCGCCTATAATTGGACGTATACATAGCGTACTTGCAGCGCAGATACAACACACGCTGAACCAACTCATAGCGAATGCCGACGTATTGCGTCAGGCATGCGGTCGGCATAAGTCGGGTGCGTCCGGAATACGCTCAGCATGTGCACTGCATACTGACCTATTCGCAGCCCGAAAAATAATGTCGTGCACTGCATACGCAACTCATACGCATCTCATACGCAATGGATGCGCTGAATTCGTTACTTGCACACTAGTCAAAGTATTCAAAAAGTTTCGACGTTTTGAGCGTACGGCTGCGTATCGAAACATTTTGATAAGGAACTCATAAGAATTAGGATACGCGAAAGTGTGACAGGGGCTTTAGTTCCTGATCATTTGGAAAAGGAACATGGTCACCTTGTATGGTGCAAGGGCGCCCTCTGTGCGATAACTCGATAAATACATTACACACCCTTTAATACAGATTAATCCACGACGCTAAAAAGAAAAAGTATTGAATTTGTAATTTGCCAAGATCTAAACAGTACATTTATAATGATCATAAATTAGGTACTGTTTGAGGATTTGGTGGTTTACAAAATGAACTGTGAACTGTAATGACTAGGCTAATGATGAGATTTTTTTCGGATAATTTTCAAGATAAAGTGTATATATATATTTCGTTTGACTGTGGCGCCCTCTAAAGTTTATTTTCATGACAACTAAAGATATTTATCTAAAGAGCTATTCATGAAGATTAATTGTGCTAAGTTTGATTCACATCGATCTAGGTGTGCTTAAGTTATGGTGTGTTATTTCTTCCCCTTCCAACAATACATGTAGTGCTAAGAAAATACATGTAAGCTCAAACAGAGGCTGTTCCAAGCTTCCTGAGAGAGTGCATCCCTAAATTTTCGCTGTTAACCATTGTTTTGCCTATTTAGGACATGCCAAGGATTAAAAAAAACACCAGTGGCCCTTGGTTCGGGGGGATGCACTTGAACCCCCCGTCGCCCACGGACTAAAGGTATCCGGCACAGATTCCCTCAGCAGAAGAGGCGGATCTAGCTTTCAGGAAAGGGGGTGATATGAATGGGCGAGTGAAAGCTTACCAATGGCACGCCCTGCTAGGGGTTCCGGGGCATGCTCCAGGAAAATTTGAAATCTGCGATGGTTTCTCTTTCATTTTAAGACAATTTGAGAATAAATGGCGAAACTTCAGCGTTATATTCAATATTTTAAGCATCACAAGTCAGCAGTTGCACGCCCCCCCCCCCCCCACAGCAGGACGGATGAGAACAGGCAAATTTAAGCCATTAACTAGTCCCTGATTGATCAGGAAAATTAAGTTTTCGTTATGTTCATGACTTGATGGCAGATTCACTCATACAATTATCCCCGTCATTGTTCCCAGTTGGCTAAGAATCAGACCAAACTCATCCAAGACGCAGCCAAGGAGATCTTCGATGTGTATGTCCGGAATCTCATGGACAGCGTGAGGAAACTACAAGATGCAGCCGAGGCCGTACATGACGCCTTCCGACCCGTTGAGAATGTCCTCAATGAATTTGTCCAAATTATCGGGGTAAGTGGACCGCAGCTGACCTGGAGTCAAATTGCACAGGGCTGCTTACAGCAGAAAAGTAGCTTGGCAAATTAACGTGCTCAGCAAACCTCAGTTGGAAACATGTTCCCAAATGCATCTGAAATTAAGGATGGTATTTTAACTGCTTTTTAATCATGATATTCCAAGAAGTTTTAACAAAGAAAAGTTGTAAACAAATTAAGCGACCTCGCAAGGACTTGGCTTTCATCAACATTACTACAAAAGAATGTTTTATAAGGAACAGCCTATCAGGCGCGGTTCTAGAACCAATATTTTTTTTTTTGGGGGGGGGGGCTAGCAGGGTGGATCCAGAATTTTTTCAGGAAGGCGTGCTGAAATGTAGACCGGTTATTTTTTCAGACACATTATATAATTAGGCCTCCGAAAATCAATAGGGGGGGGGGGGGGGGAGGGGGTGGCTCATGCCATATTTTCAATGGGGAGCGCTGCGCCAATAAAAATCCTAAAATCATTCACACTATATTAACTAATGCACTCTTGTCAAGACTATTTTTTTAGGGGGAGACCGTTCGCATGTACATCACAATCCTTCTTTTTGCTAATGCAAGTTTCTTTTTATACGGAATTATTTTTGGGGGCTAGACAAAAATTGGGGGGGGCTAACCCCCCCCCCCTAGCGCGCGCCCCCCCCCCCCCCCCCCCCCCCCCCGTAGAACCGCGCCTGCAGCCTATCCTCTCTGAGTAGACCAGGAGTTTCCATTCCAAGGTTTATATTATACTATTGCCGGCATCTTGACTTTAGGCGTAATGCTTTAAGTTGCTTCTGAAAAGCGTCTAGTGAAAATAGATATATCGACAGATTTCCAGTTAGCACCTGAAAGTCTGGATTACTCTGGTAATAGATTGCCGGTACAGTATGCCGGATGTTTCAGGATTAATGTATGAACATCACTCTTGGTCTTGATGTTTTACTTTCATTTAGAATGCTGGCGAAGCCCTTCGAGCAGCCGCCAGTATGTGCAGACAAATCATCAATGGGGCGTATAAAGATTGCTCTACGGGTGTTAACATTGCATACAAAGACTGTAGAGCAGCCTTGGGCCAAGTCCCAGACATTGGAAGCGCCCGATTAGGTAAGTCCCTTAATCTTTACCTTGCAGTAGATCAGTCTTAACAAAAACCAAAAAACCTTCTAAAATGACCCGATTTCGAGATTTACAATTTTGGATATTATGATGGAATACCGGGAGTCATGTGTTTTTCATTAAGTAATAATTCGCACCAAAATAGACACTGAAATAAAAAGGTGTCACTCATAATAGTTTTCCTCCGTTTTCCCTGAAGATGAAGTCTGCAACCTTTTAAACTTCGGTCAGGAAGTTTGTGGTCTTCTGCGTAATGCTGATGGTATATGCGAAGCCCCAACACTGCTCGACGATCTGATTGACACTGCCCTCAAAGCGACTCAAGGAGCTCTAGAAGACCTCCGCAGAGTGTTTGACACGGACGTGGACTTCGAAACCTACTGGGAGAATCGACAAAACCAAAGCCAGTCATTTGAATCCATCCAGGGTGCCATCCAACAAGAGTTGGAGGATTCTCTGTCTTTTCTTAATTCGGCCTTCTCCATAGTTGACAAGATCGTGGCCCTGTCTGTATTGTTCCTGCTGTTCCGGTCCTACAAGTATCACAGTAAGTACCGTACAAAGGACCGCTTTGATAACTACTACGTGACTAAAGAGTTTAAACTCCTGGACGAGAAGAGGCAAGAGTCCGGCCGAGATCCGATACTCCCCCTGAAAAAGTCGGAACGGCGCCGTCTGATCGACTTGTCTTCTGTGTTGCTGAGTAAACCAGAGAAGGGTCTGTTTAAGTTAGGTATGGTGACGGTTCTTCTCCACGTTGTGATTGCAGCTGTCCTGGTCTTAGCTGACTATGGTCTGTTCTGGTTGCTGTCACTGATTTCCCGACACGGTAAGGTCAAGTTTGAGATCTCAGGTGGGGGAGGTACAGATCTTACCATCGGCGGTACGGGAGTCCTGTCTCAACTCATCCAGTCTCTCTTTGTGGAAGGGTTTGCTGCCGCCAGTGAATTCAACGTTTCACTGGACACGGAGCACTGCCTTCCGAATCCCAACCCACCAAATGAAAATCTGTCCATTGGTATCGGGGTTCTGTATCTCATCGCTATACTCATGGTGCTATCCCAGGCCTACGCCCTGCGCCTGCGAAGGCGTATTGCCTCGTACTTCTACCCGGAACGGGAGCTGGAGAGAATCAATTTCCTCTACAACCACACCCTCCAGAGGCGACAGAATCTCTTCAAGCTGCTGAAGCAGCGAATCAGGCAGACGAAGCATGAGATGGATGTAGAGCAAAGGGTCAGCTTCGTAGCTTACCTGTCTGCAAAATATCCCTGCTGGAGAAAAGTCTTCCGTTTCTTGGGCCAGGAGAAGCGAGTGTGTCTCGGCTGTGCCGATGTGGACAACGGTACATTCAAGTCGTGTGGTAACCCAGACTGCCGTGGGCTGTATTGCCGGGAATGTCTGCATGAAATCGGCAACACATGCACGCTATGTCAGGAGATAGTTGTTGGGAGCGATATGTCCATAGGAGTTGTTGAGAATAGAGTTTGAGCAATATTAGAACCTCAGCATATTTTCACGAGCATTTAGGACACTAAAGCCTACCAGAATACCTGTTTTTCTTCAGCCCATTAAATTTAAACAAATGACGCTAGTTATACTGTTTTAGAATGGTGCACAAAAGTATACTTTCATGATGTTTAAGTTATTGATGAGGCATTATTGATAAAGGGCATGATTTTTACCAGTATATATTACTTTCAGTAAATCACATCGGGTTATGAAATGTTACGCGGTCGCACGACCTTATTCCGTCAAAATAGGCTAGAGCAATAAACTAACCGCCAAATTGTAGAAATGTAAGTGTAAAATGTATTATAAAATGAAAGCAATGTGCTTTAATTACATTTGCCCTTCATGCATTCTTAATTTATGCAATTTGCCTTAAAACTGCCAAATCTGCCAGTCGATTACTATGGATTACATATTTTGTTGTGAAAATAAACGTCATATAATATTAAATAAATATAAAATGTAGGTGTTGTAACTTGAAATTGATGTGATATAAAGGGAAAAATGCTTGGCCAGTTTTAAATAATCTGTTTAAGACCGGTTGGAGTCTGGATGGTAATAGTTGCCGGCCAGCACATATTTATTCCCATTTATAAATACATGTGTGGTCTAAGAGTGAAAAGTATTGGTCCAAAATTCAAAACAAGTCAAAAATTTAAAATTTCCAACGATTTTGTCAATAGTTTTACTTTATTATGGTATGTCCATGCCGTTAACAACTCCTTATAAGGAGATTGGCGAGCGCGTCGCGCTAGCCTTTTACGAAGGCTGTCTACTTGTTCCCCGATCTGAACGGCCGCTACCGCACAATTATACCCATTGTACTGTACTTGCCACAACGCAGCGCCGCGCACACTAGCAGGAAGCTAAAGGTATGCCCTTGCTTTCCCCCACACATATTCGTAAACAGTACGTAAAGACTAACCATTACCAACAGTCGAGGCTAAACACCTCGACAGGGGAATGGTTACTGTACGTACTGTATGTGCGGCGTAAGTATAATGTACAGGCAAGCAAGGGGATCGCCGATGCTAGTTATGTGCGCGGCGCAGTGCCGTGTCAACTAGTACAACGGGTACGTGACAAATCAGCATTAGCTGTAGCCTCCGGTAATTGCCGTTTGCTCAATCAGGGGAACAATTAGACAGCCTTGGTCAAGGTAGCGTCGTGGTTACTGCGCGATTTGGCGCAGAACGCAGCTGTGCCGGTGTAGTGAGAATTTAGGACTATAAGATACTGACTCACCCGTAGTATTGCGCATGCCTACGTCAGCATTGTGGAATGGTCAACATTTGATGTGACAAGTGGAAAAGTGTTTAAGACTAGGCAGCCGGTCTTTCGACCATTTAAAACCGGACACGCGACGGGCTCTCGACCAATAGGATTGGGCGACCTGGCTTATGTATTTGTGATTAATATTAATCTTATTTAATTTTATTTTACTGCCTTATTCAGATTAATAACTTTCAGTCGCTGAAAATTGAATTGCCAGTATTGAATTCCCGGGCGGGTATCTTGTTATGTTCAGCAAACTTTGTGCAAACCTTAAACACCAGCTCAGTAGAATGTTAGTAGGAAATATGAACTATTCGACCATTTGTTTGAATTCTTGCAGGAATTAAAACAGCATGTTACTCAAGTTTTCATGTTTTTTTTTTTTTTTTAGGGGGGTGATTTCATTTTCGTTTGTAACTGTTGTAAACGCTTTTATTTTTTTATTCCATAGTTATTTTAATAACAAAATCGAACATTGCTTACAAACCACAAAAATCAAAGAATCACCTTCTGTATATAAAACGTAAGTATTATATACATAAATTGATTCGTTGATTTTTACCACGGAGATTTGTAGATTTTGTTGACTACGATTATCAAATGTTTTATATTCCTTCAATTTTGATAATACTATCCTTTATAAATGTCATTTAATGTATATTTAAAATCACAAATACTTAAATCCACTACACAATTTTACAAGTCAAACGTGTATATGTTTAGATGAACTACTGTCTGTAATCCTAGTTTGAATCAATAGATTTGTATGGAGTTTATTTCTTGAAAATGATGTAAATAGTAAATATAGCGCAAACTTGTTGAAATAAATGTGAAGCCAGACTCTATATATAGGCTATCCATGTGCGTTATCTTTCCGTTGGTACCCAGATGTTACATACTGATATAAAAACATCAATGAGGCCAAAAAAAAAAGTCTCCGGTTTCTGGTATGCGCGCACGTCGCTGTAGCCATGCGCGTCGGCAAAATGAAAAAGTTTTTTTTTCAAAACAAGATGATGTTTCAAAACCGCCAAACTCACTGGTTTGACTGGAATTCTGCTGCTGCACAATTTTAACGTGTTTTTAGATGGGGTTATGATCGAGAATAAGCTTTATGTGGCCTCTCTGGACTCCTATATATTTGCACTAAGTTTAGTCGGGCACCATTTGCAGTCATCAGCCGACATTTGAAGCCAAAAAAAAAAAAAAAAAAAAAAAAAAGCCGCGTCGCCGCACCACTTTTGGGGCAAGCTTCATACCAGAAACCGGAGACTTTTTTTTGGGCCTAAAGTTCAGTTTAAGCATGCCATTTCCAAAGCATTGAGGGCGCTCCATGTCTTCCATGACGTCATGACAGTCCTCTCCCTCATTTCCTTTCCTCACTTAACTGTTGAGTAACAATCGTTGGTATGCAGGTTTACCCCAGAATAAGATCATCCCATAATTCATTATTTATGATTTTCACATCTTAAATTGCGATAATATAAAAAGGAGAGCGACTGTCACCATATCATGGAGAAAAAGCTGACTTTCCTTTTGGAAATTATATACAAATGGTCATGGTGGGGGGGGGGGGGGAAGAGTCGACAAAAAAAATATCATTTTTATGGTGGGTGATCTTCTTCTTCTTTTTTTCCTTTTTTTTAAAAGTAGTCAAACCAAAATCTTTATAACATTTTAGAATTTGATTGAATCAAACAAACTTAACGGTCCAAAAGTGGCAAACGATGACATGCCTACACTCGTTAAGTGAAAATCTTGTTTTGTCCAGCTAAAAATAGGAACTTTAATCTCAGTTCTTAGCCCATACACGAATCCGCATACAAACGAAGAAATAACTTATACCAAAGTCGCCTTTGTATCACCACTCCTAAACAAATATATTTAACACAGTCCCACCTTTAAACCTAAAAACAATCAAAGCTATATAAACATTATCTTAGCAACGGAAAACTTTCTCTTTGTCACAACTGACGTCATCAGAATAGTAAGTGGACAGCGGCCAGTCGCGAGATATCAAACTGGGATATGAGTGCTGGATTTGCCGTCCTGGGCTCATTTCTCCAAGGTGTAGCACCGAGTGTCGTTCTGTCATGATGCGGGGACTGATCCTTGTTTGCCTGCTTGGCCTGGCCTGTGTTGGCCTGAGTGCTAGCACAGAGAATGCCCATCAGAAGCGAGGAACAAAGCTCAAGGTAAAATCATTTTCTTGTCAAAAGTACACAGAAATGCAAAACGTTAAACAAAAGCTGGGACTGTTTTTCTTTAAACTGGAAGTAACTGTGGTCAAAAAGGTGTGCGTTCCTTCAACAAACGAAAACAATTCACACATATCCTTATGTGATTTGTTTTCGTTTTGCTGAATGAACATTTACCTTCGTGTGATCCGTGGACAGAACGTTAAAACGGTGGTTGTGTTTACAATTCCGTAACTTAAAAAGTACATAAGTGATTTGAATGATTCTTGTACTAAAAAAATCCTATGAATTAGGCTGTCATATCCCAGATTTTGAAAGTGCTTCATGCAGAACTTCACTAAAACAATGGTCCCGACATTTGGGTTTCTTTTTTTTTTTAATCACCCTATATTGCTTCCGTTGGCCATTACTCACAGGAATTTCAGGAGTCTTAATGAGTCGGCTGATACCTGAAATCTAAACCTCTGTAGTAATCATAGAGCTACATTAAATTATAGCTCTATGGGAGTAACAAATCAAAAGGTTGAAATATTACGCTCAATGTGAATCCATGAGGCCAGGGTTATGCAATAATCCATTAAAATCAAACAAAACAAGATATCTGATTTAATTCCATTTGGAAACTTTGTGTCAGAAATACAAATAACGTAACGCGATGTAACGATTTGAAAGGCTTGAATCCAAAGGACGTGCTCTTTTGATTACAAATATCATGCGTTCTTTGATTTGGATGTCAGCTACTTAGAGTAAACCCAATGCTCTTATTATTTTTGACGGATTCGCGTTGAATGAGTGGAAATGTGTTTGCATGTCATTTGGTATTTTAAATTTTGGAACAAGAACAATGCATCCAGTCAGAAAATACAAACACTACACGCAAACCTGTGGTTTTCTCTAAACGTGCAAAAAAAGCATGCATTCGTTTCCATGTTTCTGGTCTTAGTTGGTTGTTAATATATCGGTGCAATTATTGCAGAACTCGTTCAGGATGCATTTCCAATTAACTGAAAATGTTTATTTGAAATCCGATATGCTCACCAACTTTTGTTTCAGAATGTTCGACAGGCGAACGGGCAAGATACCATCATGGGGGTAGACTAGCACAGTCAGTTTATCAATGAGAGCCTAGATACCCAAAGGTCAAAAGAGAATAGCTGAATGAAATCGAACGATCCTCTTTTCTTGAGAGAGCAAAATTTACTCATTTGCTTAAGAGAATTCCTTTGGATTTCAAAAGCTGTACAAATAGGTTGTTGTCAAACTTAGCTAAGACGTCGCCTCAGCAATACGACGGTGTATTCCGAATGAACTTATCATCAAACGAAATGATCGTTTCTGCTTCCGCTGAATTAGTCTCAGGTATTCTGTGTTTTCAATGGAATTGTGAAGAATTAAAGGAACAAAGATCATTTGCTTTTTGTGGGTTTATTCCCCATTAAGCAAAACAAAACAAACGGCTCAAAATCCAAAAAGGATGTACAGGGTAAGTAATAAAATAGGAAACCCAGATGTCAGGTCCATTTTTTTTCTTATGAAGCTCTGCATATAGCACTTTAAAAATCTAGGATATGAAAGCCCAATTAATAAGCCTTCTTTAAGGACAAGAATCAGTCAAATCACTTAAGTACTTTTCAAGTTACGGATTTTTTTTTTAACACAAACACTTTTTAAAGTTCTGTCAACGGGTCACAAAAAGGTAAAATTGTTCTTTAGGGGTGCATGCGAATTGTTTTCGTTTTGCTGAAAGAACACTTACTTTTTTGTGATCCGTGGGCAGAACTTTAAAATGGTGTTTGTGACTGTTCAAAATTGCGTAACTTAAAAATTACATAAGTGATTTAAATGATTCATGTATTAAAAAAGAGCTTGATGACTGGGCTTTCATATGATAGATTTTGAAAGTGCTACAGGCAACATATTGTTCAAAAATAAACCACGAAACCCAAATTGATTGATTTTTTTCAGGAACAGAAGGGTGCTCTCAGCAAAGATTACACAAGAAATCTTCTGAAGCAGTTGCAGACTAAGAAACTCAAAGAAGCAAAGACGAATGTCTCACCTGAGGCTAGGAGTAAGTCAATTCTACGCAGATCAGAAAATTAATATTTAATCTCTGGCAGATTAAACGTTTGTATGGAAATGAGCACGGGGGATGATAGAGGAGAGGAAGAATATAATCAGTCACGATATAAAATACAAGAATTTGGCACATTAGAATTACAGAATGAAAACTTTAAAATTTGAAATTTATGATATTAACTTTATCAGACATCGATTACGTTTTGGAACGAAAAACCAGCTATGTCCGTTTTTCAATTTTTAAATTTTATATGAATGTGTCTTCTCTGGCCACATGTTTTTGTAAGCAAGGGTTTCAGCGTCTAGTCTAATTACTTATGCGCCTGTGTTCCCCCCCCCCCTCCCCGCGCTACCCCTGGTCCAATGTCGGGGTTTGGTCACGTTTTTCATGCCCCAGGGTGGGGATTTCGGACACTCAAATTGCATGGTTACCATTGACGTACTACATGTAAACGTAATCACTAGTGCGCCGCGTATGTACGTCGAAGATTGTCACTTAAATTTTGCACTAGGGGTGGAGATTATATCACTTCAAAAGTGACAATCCCCACGGGGAATAATAGTTGATAGGTGCATGAGGATTTGATTTATAGCACGAAGAGAAAATTTTGAACTAACGATTGCCTCCTCGTAAACGATTCATTCTTGGCCCAATTTGCAGGATCCCTGATGAAGCGAGCCAAGAGCCTTGTATCTAAGCGAAACTGGGAGGATTGGCTGTGCCTTCATTTCCCTGATTACTGCGGTAAGATAATCTACCATCTCATCTTTGTGTGTAACGGCATGCCTAGCTCAATTTACATGGTCGAGAGAAAAAGGTCGATTAAAGGTGAAATTAAGTGTGAAAATTGTGAAGGCAGTAGAAGTTTGAAAGGACTTTTGTCTCCCTATTAGTCGTCACGGTTTTGAAACGTTATCTGTTATTTCATGTTGTTCTGTTTTTTATTTATATTTTTATTTTTATAAAGATTTTACTTAATCTGTTTTATGGAATGAGAGTCGAAACAAAGATTATCATTATCGTTGTTCGGCTAATCCGCAGGCGACCAAAACGATGTGAGGTACTTAATCTGACTCAAGCGCAGCGGTGCTGTTTAAACATGAATGTGTGCACGAATACTATGTATACATGTACACAGTAAATATTATGCGCATTTACGTCCCTTTCGTGTTGTATTTACTGTTGCAAGTCCGTGCAAAGGGTGGGGCAAGAGTAATATCTTAGCACAATACACCAATATGGAAAATACATAGGTCTGGGCTTTGTTCAAATCTGTACACATAGGGTAAATGTTGGGGCAGATCATCGTGTCTGGCACCCCCCCCCCCATCACCATGCCAACGCGCAAGGCAAGGCTTAGTCAAGTTTGATTAACTACAGTAGTTACTGAATGATAGTGAGCAAGCTAACATGCAAATTGGAATGTTCCTAACTCCAAACTTACGACTTGTCTATTTTAGCTTCTGCAGCGGGCTGTGCAGCGGATGAATATCAATGCAGTGATGGTAGCTGTATCTATGACCACTGGCAGTGTGATGGCTGGGATGACTGCAGCGATGCAGGCGACGAACAAGGATGTAAGTCATGGTGTGATGGCAGCCACCATTCGGTTGTTGATTAGACTTTGGAAGGTTTCGCGGTACATAAGACACGTTCATGTTTATACTGGTACTAATCCGTTTCAAAATTAGACAAGTATTTTTTCAGTCATAGTATTACAGTACTGCAGTATGTTTGAAGTGTTTTTACTAATACCGTAGTCTTATGATATTATAGCGCACGTATTTACCAACAATTTGGTACTCAAGCCGCTTGAAATTATATCAGTTATTAAAGACAGGTAAATAAAGTTTAGGATAAAAATGAGACTCATTATGTAGCACATTTTAAGGGTTTACAAGGTGCTGCGGCGGGTATTGCAGCTGCCAGAAACACTGGGGACTATCGTCTCATACATCTTCTACGACTTTCGCCTCATACATATTACGATTCGCATTCCTGACGTAATTGGGTGAAAGGCCTACTCGTGTCTTACGTCTAAAGCGATTCACAGTGTTTTAATAACTTGGTTCACATAAATGTCCTTGACAGGCAAAAATCATTATTAAAAATATTATATTCGCAAAAGCCATAAGATCACGTTAATTATCAATAACAACATAATTTAACATCGAAGGAGGTGAAATTTGCGCAAATGGTAACAACATCATACGGTGATATTGAGGGAGGGATCCAGGCTGGATAGAGAGGGGGTACCGATCAAAAAGGGTATGCCAAGTGCTTTGCGTGTTTTTTTCTGCACGTCTTTCCTATTTTTTTCGGCCAAGAGGGTTGTTTTGATCTCCTAAACCTCCCTGTAGATCCACCATTGAATATTACTGAAAAATGTCCGAGACAGTTTTTCTTTATATCCAGGTAAATGTTTTGACTGTATTTAACAGGTGCCTGTACCGGTAATCAGTTCTCTTGCGGAAACGGTCGTTGTATTCCAAGTAACTGGGAGTGTGACAGCTGGGACGATTGTGGCGATGGATCTGATGAAGTAAACTGTAAGAGGCTGCTCTTCTCTTTCTAACTAGTGATGGGATTTTCAATCCATTGGTTGTGTCAAACTCAAATATGAGCAGGTTATTAAAAATTGCGAGATATAGGCCTTTCTTGGTTATGTCATAGCCATAGTTGTGTTCAAACAGTAGTTGGCAAACTATGGGTTTATGGCAAACTAAGTTGCCAAACTGGTCTGTATTATGTTAATACAAACACACTCACAACCAAAGTGAACAGCACAATCCCTCACTCCGATCCCAAGTAAAGTGGCATGAATATTGCCATTTTGGCGCAGTAACGTTTGCCAACCATGGCAGACACCATTTTTTTGCACTGATGATCGTTCATCTATTTGTATAAACAAAATAAAGACAAAAGCTAACGGAGGCGAAGTGTTAGGAGAAAATATGCATATCCACATACGTCATTGCAAGTAGAAAATACACGTGTGCTGTGGCCGAAACCTTTGTTTATCCACATGCTCGTCTAGCCTAAGTGTTCTTGAATCATTGCATCTTCACCTCTTAGTTTCTTATAACAATTATCTAAGCATTAAAACAACTGAATGTAGATTTGTACAGCCTATTATTTTTTTGCATGCTGCACTCACACGCAAAATACAATTTAAAGAACATTGAACAATTCTCCGTTCATATGATATTTTGGTACTATATGATAGCGAATCTATACTCCTTTGCGCACTTATCATTTGGAGGTTTAATTTTGCATGCCTTATGAATTTTTGTTTGTAGGTGCATGTGCCGAGGGTGAATTTACTTGTGTGGATGACGGCAGCTGCATTTACGGAAGTTGGCAGTGTGATGACTATCTAGACTGTCAAGATGGAAGCGACGAAGCAGATTGTAAGAGTGTGCCCCCTGTCTACGTTTCATATATTGACATTGCAATGATAACCTTGTGAATTGACAACAAGCAGTTTTTAGACACATCTTGAGATATTCCTGATTTGTTTATGGCAAGACTGTTATGACCGGTACTATTCTCAAATGTCTTACATGTAACAGGTACATGCGATAAAGAGAACCCCTCAAATCGTATATCCTCAGTGATTTTTATGTAAGAAATTGAAAAACGGCTCCAGATTTCTGGAAATATTGGAATTTCTGGAACAGCAGCAATTTGGTAGCCCAAATATTCACTGAAAAGGACAGTGTTTGTTTTCCTAGACGTCATTTTACCAATGTTACGTCTTAGAATCAAACGAACTTTGTTTCCCAATTCATTATTTTCATCTTCTAACTTGTAACGTCTCCCAAAAGGTTCAAACGCATGCAGTTGGGGAGAATGGAGTGACTGGTCCGGGTGCAACACCGGGTGTGGCGCTGGTCAGCGTAGCCGGACTCGGGCCTGTAACTGTGCTAGCGGGCAGTGTGACGGGGAATCGGTCCAGTATGACATGTGTAATGGCGACGATTGCTACCCCGAAGCAAGTAAGTCAGCACTGTTCCACCCTGGCTGTTGTTAACTACACCAGTGGTATTGATCATCGTTAAACTTAACTTTGAAGATTATAATGTCTGTGCACCAAATATAAGAGTGTACCCATTATTAAGCTTTGCAATATTCGTATTGTGCACATTCAGAGTATGGATAAGACGAAAAAAATGAAATGTTTCATAAACCCAAGGGTGAAGAACCAGCCAAAATGTTCGTTTGTTTTCTCATTACATCATTTAGTTTAAATTGTGGTTAAATATAATATGATTTATATCATTATCAAACCTCAATATTTTCAACATAATATTAGACAAAATTATGATTATCCTTTTTTGGATACCAGTTAAAACTTTAACTGGATTTTGAAGTAACTTGAGCCATTTAAATCACCTTGGAACTGGAAGGGCTAGAGTGACCAATCAGAATCGAGATTACAACTTGGCACAGGCTCTAAAAAGAAAACAAATATCATCACTTGAAATGTTTCTCCAACCATCTGACCCCAAGTCTTGTCAAATATGACCGTTGTCTAGTCAAAGCTGACAATTTGTTAAAAATATATAAATTGTTCATACTTGTTTGTCGGGGGTTTCAGTCACTTCTAGAATATCATTAGATCGATGGTCGTACCAACTCTAGGCCTGCAAAAATTGCTGTGAATCGATGAATATATCGCATGGTAAATCAAGAAAAACCACTCTAATCAGTCTTTCTGGTATCGTTTTACGTCACTAAGGTGGAGGCTGTGGTACCCGCCAACCCCTCACGTCTAACAACCGTATCGTGGGCGGAGAAGACGCCGTACGCGGTGCCTGGCCTTGGCAGGCACAGCTCCTCTACTACGGAAGCTTCGTCTGCGGTGGTACACTGGTTGGCAATAGATATGTGGTTAGTGCTGCTCACTGCTTCACTGGAGACGGCTACGAGTAAGTAACTATGTATTTATTTTATTTATTTTATTTCTTTCTGATAATGAAACCAAGGATTCCTCAAAAGTACCCTTAAAGCACTGTAGCTCGAAAGCCTGAAGAAACCTGTAGAGAGAAGACAATGAGAAAAAGTTACAGTTTTAGAGGTGGGAGGAAAACCCCAGAGGAATAATCTGAGGAAAACCCGCGGAACCAGGTAGGGACTAAAAACCCAACCCACATATTGGCCCGGGCGGGATTCGAACCCGGGTCACAGCGGTGGAAGGCGAGGAAGGTACCGCTACGCCAACCTGACTCTAAAGTGTATCCCGAAGCCATTTTCTACCTCTTACTCTTACTAATTAGAAGAAACAGCTGTTTCTGTACGTTGAATGTGTTCAGTTCGTGCACAATAACACAAGGATTTTTTGTTCCCAACGACTTTCAATGTTTATATTATACTTTGACTAAAAAGTACTTTTATTCTATTTTGGGCAACTGCAATTATTTGGGTTGCTCAAACATATCCGCCCGGCAAGTACACTGGCTCCTGCTGTCCCTAAACTATATATCAATTGTAATAGTGTATATAGAACTAAACTATTGTCAGGCTGCACATAATTCGAAACATGTAAAGTAATTATTTGATTTTCGGGGTTAGACCCAAACTATCATGGAACAAATGACAGTTCGAGTCTAATCCCGAAAAACTGCTTTCTAGCAACAAAGTTATTCACTTTTGAACGAGTTTAGTTGTCAAATAATTACTTTACATGTTTTGAATTATAAAATAGTTATCCATGGGCCACGATAGCCACGGTATTTGGTTGATATTTTCGGTGGCGGCGCTGCAGGGGAGCACGGGGGCATGGGAAGGAGTTGGTTGGGGCTGTAGGGTGATGGTTGGGCATGGCATGTGGAGGCAGGGGCGGGCGGATGGGGATTGGCAGGCGGGTAAAGCGGCTGAGGGCAGGTACAACAGGTGAGTACATTGAGGTTGTTGGGCAGGTGATGACGTCACGTCTCACATGGAATCTAAATCAAAATTGAAATTAAAACGCCAGGTTTTTTTTATATGACATGTTCTGTCAATGAGCTTTCTCCGTCTTTGAACAGTTACAGCAACCCGTCCGCGTGGACCGTTCAACTCGGTAAGCTGTATGCATCCAGTAACATCGACGCGTCTAACGGCGAGTATGAGAGCGGCGTGTCACAGGTCATCATTCACGAGGGCTACAACCAAGTCACATCGGATAATGACATCGCTGTCATGGTGTTGTCCAACCCGCTCTCAGCGTCCAATAGCTTCGTCAACTTTGCCTGTCTGGACTTGAATAGGACCAGAACCTTTGATTCTACCTCCAACTGCTTCACCAGTGGATTCGGCGCTCTTTCTTGTGAGTGTTGTTGAAAGCATACATATACATTTCAGTTATGTTGTAATTTTAATTGGATGCAACCTCGTTACTTCTGTAACCCAACCGTACGAAATGAGTATGAAGAACATTATTTTAAACCTTACTCATTTTGTATTTGTATTAAAAAGAACAAACTACGTTCTTACATACTTTGGTATGTAACAGTTTGATAACCCACACCACCGTGTTTTTCTTTACACGAAATGCTACTAGCAAGAGATTCGCCCTCTGCCCCACATGAAAAAAAAACCCGTTTATTATGTGAAACGGTCTTTTCCTAGGAATTTTGCTAAAATTGTTTTTATGGCCAGCAACTCGAAGTTGCTCTGGAGACTTCTAATGTCGCACAGTATGGCCACATTATGTCAATTGAAGCTTAAATTGATCGTCAAATACGTCCCTAACAACTCTGATGTTTTAAAGAAGTTGTCAAACTAGCATTTTCGTTTTCTCGTAACTTTGGTGTGCTTTCATTTGTTGAATTGATCTAGCTGGAGGTAGCTTGGCAACCGTTCTCCAAGAGGCAAATGTTCCACTCATTCCTAGGACTACGTGCAACGGACCCTACAACTACGACGGCGAAGTAACCACGAACATGCTGTGTGCTGGCTACGTTGAGGGCGGTATTGACTCCTGCCAGGTAAAAAGCAATGGAACAACCACATCGCAGCCCCAACCCATCCACGGAAAATAGGGGGAAGGAAAGAGAAAAGAAGAAGCCTGAAGCAAATGCTTGAATTTTGAAAAATGATGTGCTCCCCATTCTTTTTTTGAGTTTTACCCCGAAAAATAGGGTGTTTTTTTTCAATTGCTGTTTTCCAAGCAATTCAAAAGGTACTCACTCTCTAATGAGACATCAACTGACACAAAACTCCACCAAAGTATAGTTATTGAATTATTTTGTTTCCAAAAAATAAAATATTGCCTGCAAGACTATAATCTGGCTCTCTCATGACGGATTCACTATTTTGTGAAAAAATGAAAGCCCTTAATTTTTAAAAGGGTTGCAGATGCCGAGCATTGGAATATAAATATTGTTTTAGGTCCTTAGGACCTGAATTTATCTGGTTTGTTCCGAGTGGTTCTGCGCTATTTGACAAAGCTTAATGTAAAAGCGCAATATCAAAAGTTTACAAAGCTACCATGTAAATAAAACTGTCTGTATGCAACTGTCAACATACACTAAATATTTCTAGATAGACACACGCATAAGATATAAACTTGAAAAAGATTTACATTTTACAATCACGATGGCCATTTCTAATAATGTTTGCGTATTGTTGTACACATTTCGATCTGTTTCCAGGGTGACTCTGGTGGCCCATTGGTGTGCGCATCAAAGGACAACGCAGCTGACGTCGAACGCTGGTACCTGGTCGGGGTTACCAGCTGGGGATATGGCTGTGCTCAGGCCAACTATCCAGGTGTCTACACTGATGTGTCCCAGTACATAGACTGGCTGCAGACCAAGATGGCCTAGATGACAAACGTTGGCAAATATCGGTGTCACTTTAGGTAGTCAGGATATAAGACACGTTTTTAGGGTGCAGATCAGTAAATGGACCCGAAATATCTATGCCGGACGAATCACGATTTGTAGGCCTTTACTGTCAAATTCTCTCTTGATAGAGGGTGAACTTAATGACCATAGCTTTATTATAAACTAGGGAAGTAAGCTTGTTATTGTTATCATGCACCACTCATCTCCATTGTCTTGGAAATGGTCTGTGAAAACTATCTTGGGAAAGTTTGGTGTAAAACGTGAGCTTATCCAGACTCGCATCTAGGTTCAAGCAGTACCTTATGAAAACATAAACAAACAAGATGTTTGTCTTTTGATGACCTTTTGCTGCAGCTGAGTTGTATTTTGTATACGTATGTTAAATGGTATCTTCTGACATCTTCTGACATATGCAATAGCCCACGTACACATTGTTGTCAGGAATCGATGACATGTACACCAACTTTTTGGAGACACAGATATTGAGCCGAATCTTTCTGTATAGAATGGCCTCAAAGGTCACCAGGTTGAACTTCTTGTTTGGTGGGGTATTTAACCAGGTTTTTAGCAATCCACCTCCTAACCTTCAGGATTTGTAGGGTCTGCAATATTCAGACAGGCCATGGAAGATATGCTCCGAAGATACACTTGGCCAAGGTATTTAATCTTGAATGATCATCATTTGACAGAAAACCTGTTTTGTTCATGTGTTCATAAATTCAATTCACCTTGAATCTACCTCTCTTCATGTCCGGATGTACTTATCTTTGACTTCTAACTGTCAAATGAAGATTTTCGAATACCTTTGTCAAGACTATGGACCTAAGTGATGCGTGTCCAGAGGAATGCCAACAGGATGAGAGTGGACAACTAACTGCACCTAGGCATAGGCCTACAGTTTATGATAAAAATAGCAATAATAGTCATAAAGTTTATAACTTGGTCAAATTGACCCTTTGTTTGGGGATTACCTTATGGGGGACACCTTGGGAAGAGTTTTGTTGCCTATGCACTTATGGGTTTATAGCAATGAAGGGTCCAACCACCTAACAGGACAGTCTTCGAACTTGTATTTCTGGGAAATTTTGGACGAAATTAGACCCCAAACTGGAGCGGATGCAAGAATTTTTGCAGGGGGGGGGGGGTCATCAGAAAATTAATGCGGAAATGTAGACCTTTTTTTCTCCTGACACTTGGCCTCCGTAAAATCAATATTTGGTGATGGTAAGGTGGGTATCATTGCTATCTGGTAATTTATTTGCTGGTCTGCACCCATGCTACGATTGTTTCTTAGCGACTGATTCACCAATGGTACCAGATTCATATCGTTTTTTAGTTTTATAGTCAAAGCCCACTTTGATTTAATATCTCGTGAAATTATTTTGACTTTTTTTTCTTGAGCACATATAATTCTTTTGCAGCATTTCATGCAGAGAATTTACATTGTGATCTAGACTTTATAGTCTTTTTTTCAACCGTCTTAGATATGAGTCATTTGATTTTATATTATCTATAGGTTTTTGTTTCACCAACTGAACTATATGATCTTTTATAATCATTTCCCATGAATAAGTTGAATAAAGTTATGCGTTACTACTGGCAAATTTTTCTTCGTAGATTGATTGCTGTGAACATGTATATTGCTTCATTTTGTAACACACATCCTCCCTCAAATGCGAAGTAAGCTCTCGATATATATTTCAATCAAAAATGGGGTGCTGTGGTCCAACGGTTACGGTGTTCGACTCGTGTGCCGTGGTATACGAGTTCAAATCCTGACCTTGGGAACATGGTGCTTGTGCTCTTGAGCAAGGCACTTTACCATTATTGCTTCTTTCTTCGGATGGGACGCAAAGCCGTAGGTCCCATTTATAGAACCCATTTACACTTATCGCTAAGTAAAGGGGTTTGCCCCGGTGTTTCTGGTAGTGGCTGCAATATACGCCTCAGCACCTTGTAAATCCTTATAAAGGTGCAACACAATGGGTCTCAAAGCTCTCATTAACTTGAGGGCCTCCATGGAAAGCAGTGCTTTGCACTGATTGGAGTTTACCCTCATTAAAAATGACGTAAAAAGAAAACAAAAAAGGCGGGCGTTCCAGGTGGGAATAATTCTCCCTTAAATAAAATAAACAAAATAGTTTTAGTCCACAATCAGCAATTCCACGAAAGCACATAATTATTGGCTAAACATGAAGTAATTTTGTTCTTTAATGTTCGAGAGGTTTAATGTAATCAAATAAATTACCCAAGAATTAATGAAACGAAAAGTTAAGTTTAAAAACCGCTGTTTTCACACTCGTTATTATTTCCTTAAAAGTTTCAATTTTGTGGAAAATGTTCACGTTTTTCAAATGGACATATCGCATTTTAAGAATAAACTCTTCAAATTATTAAAATACTTAAATTGAGTAGTCATTTTAAGTAAGATAACAATCAGCCCTAAATATCGGTGTAATAAAAGCATGGAAATAAATCATAACAATACTTGTGGTTTTATGAAAGGTCTTATGAAGGGGGAAAGTATAACTTTTTTAAATACTTTTCACGTTCAATTTACATGTGTACGTTACATGTTTTGCTCGAACAGATTTTTTTTCCTAACTTTTACAAATTACATGCCAAGTAAATTGAACAAAAGGAAATTGAAAAGGGAAGGAAATTGAAAAAAAGAAAGTGATGTGGCGTGTATGGTTTAGCAATGTCAAATGTTATTGCATTGTACACGAGCAGCTAGTTGGTGTTTCCACGTCATTACGTATTATGTACATACAAGAGAATTTGAATTTTGTCTCAATTGGGCAGAATTATCTTGCACCTGTTTCAAAATTCTCTTACGCAATTATATTTACAGCAGCCTTGGTTACAAATTGCCCAAACTGAATCTCTGTGTTCTATATTATGTTAAGACGAGGAACTAATTAACAAGACTACAGGCAAGCCCCCTTTAGCTCGTCCCTTAAACTTGGCAAAAGTAGTCAAAGTAGTCATCTGAGTGAAATTTTGGGGCCAAGGCGAGACTTAAACAAGTCTAATTCCCAGGTGCCAGTCCGTCAGTGAGTAAGTGAGAAAGGTACGAAGAGGACTATAGGCTGGCCCTCTGGGACCAGCACAAAGGTAATCTCATTGATTCGATTACAAACAGAGCAAATCTGACAGTGCGAATAATGGATTGCTATTCTTTACAGGCCGCGCTCGATTCTAGTCATGTATAAATTCACGATATTTTTTACACATCCGACATTTACAATGGAAAACTTTTTCAAGAAAGAACATTTGACATAAACTTCACAGGTTCACAAATACATACACACGCTTTTCTATGTAACCAGTCCAGGACAATGTGAAAAATGGCTTACTTTTTTTGACTGTTAAATTCTGTATAGATTCAGATTTTGCTGAAGAATCTTTTGACATGACTATCACTTGAAAGGTTCACAAATTCAAACCTGAACCAGCCGATGAGTAACGAGTCCTGGTGGACCATCCGTGTCCATTGTGTGTATATATTGTTGATTTAAAGCTAAAGTCCATCATTTGCAGCCATCCGAAAAGTAACTGGCATAATTATTGTTGAAAAACAAACTTGGTTGAAAGATAGTAAGGGAACTAAACTCCCTGTGAAATTATTCTTTCTGGGAAGCTGTCATTTTGAAGTAATCAACGAAAGAAGGCATTTCCAACGGTGATTCTTAAGAAGCACCGTAGGAAAATTTAAATTAGTAGTTCGTTTTGTTATTCAGCGCAGCGCGCACAAGTATTGGAACGACGCACACGCGCGCGCGGTTGTTGTAATTCGTCGGACCAGTGCGCGACGTCGCGTATAGCTGCAATTCAAAACAATTCGAAACGTGATTCAGTAACTTTTGAAATTGAGATCTTAGAATGCTGTTTTTCTCGGAATGTACAGCTGAAGCTTAGCTGAAACTTCATCAGGTTAGTTGCTCAGTATCCTTCATTGGATTTTGAACACTTTTGTTGCTTCAAACGAACAAAATGCACTAATTACAAATGATGGACTACAGCTTTAATAAACAGACCGATCCATTACGCCCCGCCCACAACGCACACAAACCTCTTCAATGCCTTTTACTGCATGATCAAGACGTATACGTGCGCGTCTTACGCACGCGCACGCGCACGAGCACGCATGTCGAGCGTTAATCGTGGTTGTCATTGGTCAGAATATCGCAGGGCGGGGCTTACTGGATCTGATTATTGGTTCCAGGTAATAGCTACTAGTCATTTCATTCTCACCGATAACACGATCCACCTGTTCGTATACGACGTTGTTTAAATCTTCTGAACCTCTGCTCCCTGCGATGTCATCGTCCTGAAACGTCGGCGTCATCGTATCCTTTGGAATTGTCGTTACCAAGTACGGAACGACTGCAAGCTCCATGTCTGGTGGTTGATTTCCCGCGACTGGTGTGACCGTTTCCCTCTTTGGATCGTTGCTTCGTCTCTTGACTGTCTGTTGACGCTTCCTTATGCACGCCAGGGAAATCAGAAAGCCAACAACGAACGCTGCAGGGATTCCCACTGCAGCCACGAAATATCCCGTCTGGGTTTCATCGGTGCCTGCGCGAGTAGGAGGGAAGTCTGATGAGTGACAAATTCCACCGATGAAAATGCCTGATGTCGGGTGCGCTGCATCGGAGGAGGCTCTCGTGGTGATATCCGAAGCAGAGGAAGTCACAGCTGTTGCAGAAATAGAACAGGTCTGGCTCCGGCCCGGAAATGCAGGACTCTTGACCGTACAAACCAGGACCTGCTTCTGCAGCTCTCGGCTGACTTGGTACGAACTCCGGACCCATTTCCGTCCGCTGGTATCCGTGCTCATTTCAGCGCTGGTGACCGAGACTACTTGGCCAGTCTGCTCATCCGTCCAGGTGATGTTCACGCCGGGGAAAGCATGCTCAGTCTTGCACAACACTAAAGTCTGATTAGTGCAATTGCCCGTTGACCAGCAATTAGGGATATCATTTTGGAAACCTTTCACAGACACTTTCAACGCACCGTCAACGTATGGCATTGCGTTGTTAAAATGGACTTAGCTTCCATATAGCCCGGCAAAAGTAATGTCTGGCGTCCGTCACTGCTACTGGACTTATTCGAATAGTGTAATTACGGTAATAAATGTTATTCCTGGTGAAGTTTGCGCTCCTTGATACAGAAACACGAGAATCATCCGTCAGTGTACCTTTGTTTTCGGTCAGATACACATAACCGCTCTCACTTTCTATTCCCTACCAGACTTCCCGCAACATGTTCGTTGGAACAGAGCAACGTAGAAGTAATGTTCCACCTTCTACGGTCGTAACAGATCCAGTTGGTGGTTCCTGCGAGCCTCGTGTCAGTATCACAACGCCGTCTCCCAAGCCTTCATTGAAACCAAACAATGTCGCAAAAAGAAAGCATCCTTAAACAACTTGCACGTGAGACGGAATGATCACAGATGATTGATTCCGTGCCATATTGACCGCTAGGTTCCCCGATTAATCTCAACCAAAATAAATCTCAACCAAAATAATGTCTCGTTCCGAGCTGTAAACTGCTGGAAAGAAGCGGACTGTCCAGGAAGAAATTGGCTCCCTGCTCTCTTAGTATTTATTTTTGTGATGTACTGTCGTACGTTCGTATGTACAGGTTTTGGACTGTGTTCACGTCTTGCCTTTGCTTTTTCTCTATGGACAGAATGGTATACAATGCCTGAGGTATGAACATGGAGTGAACTGAAGCCTATATATAACGTGGGCGGGATACTTACTCATTTGAAATGATATAATCGACGTCTGTTTTTTTTTAATAAACATTTCCTGTGTTTGCTATGTATAGATTTTTGTATTTCCTTATTTGCCCATTTGTTCATGTTCGTTTCCTTGTTTGCGCGAATTCGCACCAGTGTAACAGGAAATCCCGTCATGTATTTGGAATAAACACTAAACTGGTTCATTCAACCTCCACATCGTGCGTACTATGGACAAAGGCACTTTTTTTCTCAAGGAATAGTTCTTTCACATGATGTTTCCGTAAACTTTTACTCTTGTAATCACCACCTTCTCTCAATAAAAGAGACCCGAATCAAACTGAACCGACTTGAGCCATGCAGAGCCGGGCAGAAGCCAAACCAAGCCAAGCAGAGCCAAGCCCCAGCCCAACCCAACCCAGCCCAGCCCAGCCAAGCAACATCCAACCGACCCCATTCCAAGCCGAGCCCAGTCCAGCCCACCCCCAAACCCAGTCCAGTCCATCCCACCCCAACCAAACCCAGCCATCTCAACCTTACACAGCCCAGCCCAGCCAAGCCCAACCCAGCCAAGCAAATCCAAGCCCAGTCCAGTCCAGGCCAATCCACCCCAATATAGCCCATCTAATATCATTTTAAAACTTAGCGTTTTCTGAAAAGTCTTAATAACTATTTGCGATTTTCTCGTTTTAGGTGAAATCTATATTTTTTTGCTGGAATAAGTATATTCTCATAATTTTGCAAAATACATGCCTCGGACAGGAAAGGAAATTGAAAAAAAATAATGATTTAACGGATAAGGCCTTGCAAAGGCCACCGTTCGTAAGTGAATTGTACACGACCAGCCATGTAGTG